TATGCCACATAAGAATCTGACTCTTAGATGAGTACCCCTTAATCAGCTCCTATAGTCTGAGGAGTGACTAAATGTTCATCATCTTCAGAGCCAACACACAATTATCACCATCAGAAGCAGTGGCAGCAGCAAGGACAAAATTGTTGTCATTATTATCCATATCAGAGCTTTGCATTTCTATGAACAAGAATTTTAGGGCTAATAAATTTTAATTTCAAACCTTTATTTTCTTTCCATCAAAAATAAAATTTATCTTCCCGAATAATCAAAGCAATCTTGAGAAAGAACAAAGCTGGAGGTATCACACTTCCTGATTTCAAACTACACGGCCAAGCTATAGTAATCAAAACTGTATGGTGCTGGCATAAAAATAGGCAGCAAAATCAATGAAACAGAATTGAGAGCCCAGAAATAAACCTTCACATACACAGTCAACCAATATTTGCCAAGGGAACCAAGAATGTTCAATAGAGAAAGGATAACCTTTGTGATATTGGGAAAACTGGATAATCATACACAGAAGAATGAAACTGGACCCCTATCTCACAACACTCACAAAAATTAACTTGAAATATGTTACAGTCTTAAACACAAGAACTGAAACCACAAAACTCCTAGGAGAAACATAGGGGAAAAGCTCCTTTACATTGGTCTTGGCAAGGATTTTTTTGCACAAATGCAAAAATTACTAAGTGGTACTAAACCAAAAAGTATTTGCACAGCAAAACAAACAATCAACAAAATGACAAGGCAACCTAAGGAATGGGAAAAAAAATACTTGCAAATCATATATCTGATAATGGGTTAATATGCAAAATATGTAAAGAAGTAATACACCTCAATAGCAAAATAAATAAATAAATAAATAAATAAATAAATAAATAAATAAATAAATAATAAAACCTATGCAATTTAAAAAAGAGCAGAGGAACTGAACATGCATTTTTTACAAAGAAAACATACAAAGACTCAACAGGTACATGAATAGGTGTTCAACATCACTTACCATCAGGGAAGTGCAAATTAAAACCACAGTGTGATAATGCCTCACACCTGTCAGAATGGCTATCATTACAATAGCATTATGGTAAGTGTCAGAAAAATAAGCCAATCAGAGAAAGACAAATACTGCATTGTATCATTTATATGTGGAATCTAAGAGCCAAACTCATAGAAACAGAGAGGAGAAGCGGTGGTTACCAGGGGCTGGGAGAGAGGAACTGGAGAGCTGTTGATCAAAAGGTACAAATTTCCAGATACAAGATGAGTAAGTTCTGGGAATCTAATGTACAATATAATAATACTTACATAGTTGCAAGTTTTAAAGGGAGTAGATCTTAATTGTTTTCAACACACACACACACACACACACACACACACACACACGCAGTATGTGACACTCTGGAGGCATTAAACTAACACCATGGTGGTAATCATTTTATAGTATGTAAGTGTATCAAATCAATGTGGCACGCCTTAAACTTACACAATGTTATGTGTCAATTATATCTCAATAAAGCTGGAAAAGGTGATATTAACCTGTTCCATAGTTTTATCTTTCAACCACTATCCGTTTGTTTCTATTGCTATAGTTTATATACAGAATGAGTTATTTTAACCTAATTGTAATTTTGAGAAAAGTATTACTGAATTCAGTCATTCACTCAGCAAATATGTACAAAATGTTTTCTTTATGGCAGTTAACTGTTCTAGATATTTGAGATACAAATGGACAAAAATTTAAATATTCCTGCCCCTGTAAATCTTAAATTTTAGTGAAGAAAACAGAGAATAAACAGAAGAAATAAAAATTAAGTAACTTATGTAGTTTCTAGGAAGGTAATATGTGCCTTGAGAAAAGAAGGGCAGGTTTAGGGGGTTAGGAGGAAGGATATCTGGGTGCAATGAAAATGGAGGTCAGGACAGGCCTCATAGAGAAGGTAATATTTGAGCAGATTTAAATGTATCCTTTTTTTTTTTTTAGCTGAGCCATCCTACCACCTGTTGGCAGCTCAGCAGCTGTTCAGCTTGGGCCAGGACTCAAACCGCTGTTGCTCAGAGCTCACACTCTTGAGCAAGCTCATAACCAACTGAGCCACTCAGACAGCCCTCAAAATGTATATTTCTTAATCAATGTTATTATAATAACTAAATTTAGAAATTGTTTGGTAGTAATTCTTAATTTTCTTCTATTGGGAACTTTCTGCTCACTATACCCTAAGGTTTATGTAAGTCATTGTGTGTAATTGCCTTTAGAGAGAAGTGTACTGCATAATTTTTGAAAACTAAGTAAGCATAAAATTCTAAAAGATGAAGTAAGCCGATTGATCATCTTGGAATGATGTATTTATTAGTCAAGAGATTTTAATTAAATTTAGGAAAAACCCTAAATTTTTTACTAAGCAAACGGTGATTCTAATGTATAAAATTGTAGTAATTTTCACTAAAAATCAAATCTATTTGTTTAGTATGAACATGGTAAAATGATGCAAATTACCAAAGATATAAGTCCTTCATTTTTCCCTTCTTTTCTGAAATTTATTTGAAACCATTCCCCCTTAAAGGTAGTAATATTTGGGACTTTTTTGACTCGTAGTTCAAGAATTATTCCAATTCAATAGAATGTTCCATCTACTTCAAGAAGAAAGCAGAGGATCAAAACATTATAAATGTAAATATTCCTTCCATTTATAGCTAGATGAAATACAGATTTTTCTACGTGATCATTTTGTGTTAAATTAGCTAGTGTAAAAACCTGGCAAAGAACAGGTGTAATTTATTTTAATCATCACACAAGCCATGCAATATGTTTACTCCAAAGAAGAGATTTATAATTGTTAAAAATCAAAACATATCCTAAATGTGCAATTTGTAAAATAATACTTTCGTGCCATCTCTCATAAAGAACATTTTGTAGAACAAAAAGTTATCCCTTAGTTTTTCCTTTACATAAACCTGAATTTAATACATCGGGTTCTAGAAAAGTCCATAGAATCCCTGTTCACAGGTCTTGCTCTAAACTCAGATCTGAATCATTATTGCCTAAAATGCACCCAAATTATCTTACTTTTCTCCATTTAAAACTCATTCCTCCCTCTGGGTTCCCCATCACAATCAGTGGCCTCACAATCCACCTTTACCCAGTTTACTGTCGCAGAGGCATCTCCTGTCCCGCTTTCTGTCATCCGCCAAATCTGACCAATCAGAGTCCACCGAGATCCATCCCCTATGCCCGTCACAATGTTGCCACAGCAAGCTGCTGAAATGGCAGAACTCCCCATGCTGCCCCAGCTTGAAACTCTCCGTTTCCCCTAAGACAAACCAAATCTCTGCATGAACCACTGACTTTAACTTGGCCCAACCTATCCGCACACTTCACCTACCACCACAACACATCCTTAGCACCTGTGCTGGAGATGTTTCCTGAAAAAGCCCTATTCTCCATATATTTGGGTCTTTGATTTCATTGTATTCTCCGAATACGTCTTCCTTTTTCACTCATTCATTCATGAATAAAGATAACTATCTACTGATTACCTCCTGTGTGTCCAGCAACGGGATGTGCCAGGGGATTAAACGGTAAATGAATTAGACATGGTCCCTGCACCATGGAGTTTGCACCCTGACTGCACACGCCACCATCTTCCTTCCAGATGCACACCTTTCCACCTCATCATCCCCCCTCCCTCACAGGATGCCCACACTGAGCTAGTTGCTCTGGCTTCTGGAAGACTTGGCCTCTGTGCATGCCTTTGTTGTGGTATTTATGTCGCACTTATTTTTTTCAAGTCCATCTTCCCCATCAGACTCTGAGCTGCCTGTAGCAAGTAGCAGGTCGTTTCATCAGTAGATCTTCCTGGAACGTCTAGGACTGTGTTGGGCTGTCACATGAACTTTAAAGGTCTTGACCCAACATTTAACATCATGCCAGAAAACTGGGTTTCTAAAGATGACCACAAAAAGTTACTGAGTGCAAGTACGTTCTTTCATTTAGGCTTTCCAATTTCCATAACAGTTTTAAAAGCCCATTTGTAATGTATGCTGTAACTTACCTGGCATACTGTTAATTTTCTAATTAACAGTTTTAAAAGAATGACCTCCATCCCTAAAGATGATAATGTTTTCATAAGTATATATTCAATTCTCATCTTTAACCCCTTAATGTACACTGTAACTAATGACTTAAAACATATGTTTGTATTTGTTTTCTCTTGACATAGAAATTGCTCTTTCCTTGAAGATTTCTGTAAATAATGAGAGGGTTTTCTGTTTCCTATTGAGTTGCATGCTAATGCAGTATAGCCTGAGGAAGAAAAATGCCCCACTCCCTTATTCCTGATGGTATGGTTACCTTAGGACTTATTTCTATGCAGGATTATTTTTCTGTGGTCTTGAGATACATTGCTCCTAATACAACCTGGTATAGTATATTTAAATTGATATATTCCAGGGAAATAAATTCTATGGGCTAGTTTGCAAAAGCCTCCTTCCTTCCTTTAACAGCTAGAATGGCTACAAGAATTTTTCCGTATGTATTTGACGGTAGCGCCTTATGAATTCTGCATTGACATTTTAATGGCCCTGGAGACACTGAAGACAACTGGATTGTTTTGACACTAGTAGGAGATGCTTTAGGTTCATAACCTGGAATAAATGAGGATGCTCCGAAGGAAAATCAGGCTATTGGGCCAGCACGACTTTAACAAAAAAGTAAAACTATTCCGAGACTGGAATGATATTTCTTTAACCTACATATGCTAAATGCCATCACCAAGACCTAGTAAAAGGCGAAAATAATGATGCTAATTTTCAGAGCCTAAAATGTCTCTTCTGAGGATGTTGATTTCAGTCTATCCACGAAGGCTTATCAAACTGTGGTTTGACTCAGGCAAGCAAAGTAATTCACAGACAAGGAAGCAAGTCAGAGTTTTTAAAATGTTTTTAAAACGGCAGATCTAATTTCATGTATAATTATTTGGTAAGAATCAAATGTAATGTACCTTTCCCGACTCCAGCTTGCTTGAAGTTTTCCCTGCATCATTACTGTGTCTGAAAAATACATTGACTCAGTTTATAATATTATTAAGATGGAATTTGGAAAACCCTAATCAAAATGTCAGTATTCTTTACCCTGTAACTGGTTTTGCTTTCTCTTTCTTCTCATTTGTTTCATGTTCACTGACACATTCTGCAAAACATTAAGTGAAAGAAAATTAATTTAAATAAAGGGTTATCAGTGTGTGTGTGTGTGTGTGTGTGTGTGTGTGTGTGTGTGTGTGTGTGTGTGTATGTGTGTGACGGAAGCATTACTAGAGCCTGAAAATTATCAAATTCACCTGTACTGACATAACATTTATAAAGTATTCTATGAACACAAATGTCCCTCAACATTTTTTCACTGCATCAGCTTACCAGAGGCAGAAATAAGCACAGTAAAATGACATGCTGTTTCCAAATAGAATGTAGGAATTAAAGACCCCCAATATTATGCAAGAAAATCATGTCAGTACAAGAGTAACCCGGAGGCCTGCTGAGAAAGAGATGGAGGGGTTCCATCAGACTGGCCACGGGACAGAAAGGGCAGTCTTCCTCTTCTGATAGAGACTGTAAATTCAGTCGTTAATTTAAGATAAATATTTGGGCACTGTAATTCCCTTGTATAAATATTGGGAAATACAGAGACAGGAAGGTTAAAGTCATCTCATGCATGTATGGACAGTTAATTCAAAACATAATTCTTGAGTTGGTGCCTATAGCCCATAGGACTAGACCCCCTGTGGCCATAGCAACGCCTGATACCATCCATTTCCAGTCCGAGATTGGTTGATCCACTGCAATTGGTCATCTGCGTGGCCTCGACCTCCGCTTCAGCACTGATGATCTGCTGGGCCACTGCCTCCACGATGGGCATCACCATGGCAGTCGTGGAGGTGTTGCTAAGCCACATGGATAAGAAGGCGGTACTGCTCATGAACCCCAGTGTCAGCCTGAAATGAGAGAGCTTCCAGGGTGAGCCATGGTCCCAGCTCCACGGCCTCGGTATTACCGAGCTGGGAAGGATGCTGGCTGTGGGCTGGGAATTCATTTTTTTCAAAACATTGAAGGTTAAGGTCCCTCACAGACGACAAACTCTGAGGACAGTCACAGCCAGCTTTGAATCAAAGTGGCACGTGTCAGAGTGAAGTTTTTATAGGATTGATCTCCGTGGAAACCCTAAAAATCTTCCCTCCCAAAACAGAATAATGATTAAACGTATAACCCAACCACAAGTCGGTAGATGGTGTAACAGCTTCGAGTATTACACCAATATTTAAATGCCTGTTACAGACGGCACTTACCTTCCAACACTAGTAAGAGGAGGTACAACCATCTTTTGAATTTCGGATCCCTTATTCTTCCTTTTGTCTTTTTGTCATATCTCTGTTCATTAGTATGTTACCAAGGAGTCACAAGGGCAGGGAGAGAGATTCGTTTTTATGAATCTGCCTTTTACTCGTTTACTACTCTGGTTTCATATATGATGGGGGCAGGCAATGGTTAAAATCAGTAGCTAAAAAGAGGTTTCAGAGTTCCCTGTAGATCCTATTATTTATACTCTCCTGAAGCTGACCTCCCCATCTGTTGTCAAGAACTGGACACATCGCATTGTCTTCTCTTATAGGGTAGCTCTCCTCCCTTGAAAATAACATACCTAAAACTGTAGGATTTTAAACCATATCTAGAAGCTTTCAAAATCACACTTGGGAAAAAACATGATCTCTTTTGAGTAGGAAGTCCCTGAAAATCATTCAGAAGCACATCTTTCCATATAAAGCCATTTATGAAGTCCTCTGACCCCCTTTTAAAATAGATCCATGAGAAAAACTTTACACTCTAAGTTGCAACTTCAGATCAGGTGAATATTTGCTATGTGTAAAACAAAAGGAAACTGTTTAGAACTCTAGTTAAACAAGAAATGATTCTTAATCAAAAGAAAACTAGAAATGCTTTTAACGTAACGCACTGGCAAGTCACAAAATCTTCCAATAAAAAAAGGGTGGGATCAGATAAGGTTTCTGTGTGGTGAAAATGTCAAATTGAAAAGCCATTTAGTGGCCTAATGGACACCACTCTTAACTCCCCTGGGCTGTGCACTACCCCATCCCCTGGGGTCAGTGAGCAGATAGTCAAGGGAAAAACATGCATTTCTATAGCACCCCAAGAGGCATGGAACACCATTTCATGCTTAAAGAGTGAAATGCCCTTAATACATATATGTCATAAAATTTTAAAGTAGTGAATATTTTTAAAAATTTGTCTCATCTGAGTTATTTAATTTTTTTGTATGCAACCAAACAATTTGCTCCATAAATGATAAACACAGCTGTGATTATATACCCTAGAATGAATTATGCAACAGAATTGAATACAATCTTATTTTCAAAGAAAGATGAGAAAGGAAGAACCACCGAAGGCTTTAAAGACTAATTCCATTATGCAAATGATTATGACCCTGGGAAGTTTTTTTTAGCTTACGTCTATGTTCTTAAGAAATGGGATTAAAACTAAAATAGCTAATTAACTGAATGGGGAAAAGAATCATTTCAGTGGAGAAAAAAATCAGTCAAATGAGTTACTTCACAGTCTATAGATGACATTTCTTATTTAGTTATTTTACTTTGCAGCTGTTCATTTCAAAATAAACATGTCCACCTTGGAATTTTTCTGCACTTATTTGTATTTTGTCAGTTAATGTCTTTGTCTTCGGTTCTTAACATCCTCCCTGTCAGATTAAGGATGCTCTTGAACAAGTCTTGAATGTGTAATCAACCAAATAGACAAGACAGGACTGAAATCTGCTCTGAAGTCTGTCAATCTTGTCTGTTGAGGTTCAAGGATTCTCTCAGCTTTGACTCCTACAGTGCACAAAAGGTGAGAGAGTAGTTTACCCTGATTCCAATCTCCCTGTAATTAGACTTGCAGTGAAAGAAAAGTTGGTCTCTTTTTATTTTTTTACTCCTACAACTCAAGTACACTTTATATCACTTTCATATTTTCAGAGGAAAAAAAGTCATGAATTATTATAATGCAGCACAAATGATTGCCTGGCTATGCATTACTTATTTGGTTGTTTTCCCTGCACAAGAATGGTCTGTTCAGAATGTAACCGGGAACAGTAAACACAGCACTTACCATGCTGGGTTCACACCGACCATCATCACCATCCTCAGAGCAATCCTTTTGTGCAAGTTCCATTTCTCTATTGATGTTGCTAAACAGATGACTCCAATTAGCAGTAGATGAAAATCTTTGAAATAAGAGGATGCCACCTGAAATGACAATTCAACCCATGATTATTTACATTGGTAGGGGAAACATAGCATTATATAAGAAAGACATTATTTCACTGCGCTTAACTTTAACCTTCAACTATATAACCTTTTTATTTTGTTGACAGAAAGGTAGATGTGTTTGAATACAAATTTAAATATGCTCTATATTCTTACCCAGAAATAGTAGTGTTAAGGGGAAATATACAGACAAAAAAGAGTACCCAGGATACCAGGTGTTTGAATAGCTGAATAACATCAGGCATGTGCATTCTACGCCTTAATTTCTCCATCTGTAAACTGGGGTTAATTGGTTTATGCTCCTAGTGTAGAATGGCAATGACTGTGACCTTGGAAAGTCCTGAATCGAGCTTCCAACTCGCCAACATGTTCATTACCACCCAGTATGCCATAACCGCAGTCACGTCTTCATATTTTAATGGTTTGACCTTCAAAATTCTTTATCATAAAATAAATACCCTTGAATAGGGCTAACATTTTAGGCCATTTTAAGCTAACACCATTCAGAGATTAGTAATGTACCATTTGGGCAAACATTTGAGGGATATTTAGAAAAGACTGTTCTGAAGTATGTCAGTTCCATATTTTTCACAGAAACAAAAAGATTTTGTGGTCAAATAAATTTAGAAAACAGAATTCTGAAATACTAGAATTTTCTATCTTGTAGGCCTTCTCAAAACCTTTAAAAACGAAAATATATTGCACTCTCAAAGAGTGGGATTCCACATGCTACACATTTTTCAACCTTATCTAATCACAGAAAACTTATTTTTAAATTTTTAGGTGGTGTATCTCATGAGTCTGATATTAAAGAGACCTGACTTTAGGAAATGCTTGGCTAAACTGAATCACAAAGTTATGCTGAAAGAAAGGACTACAAGAGGAAACAGCCCTTTTAAAAATCAAATAATGTCTACTGGAAGGAAGGAAGAGTTGGAGCAAAATGATTCTAATATTATGAAACCATGACGGAATAGGGAAATCTGTTCCCATGATGACTCTGCCATCTTGAACTGCATCTGCATTTTTAATACAGCTTATTAAGCGTGGCTTGGTCTCCAAAAAAGCAAACATTGAAAGTTGTCCTTGGATCAAAGTGGAAAAGCAGACTTCTCTATATTTTATTAAAAAATTCATGTATCATGCTTTTCAAAGTTCATATTGATCTCTTTACATGTTGTCATAATTAGATAATAGAAAGTAAATGATTGTATCAAAGTTCTTATTATTTCATTTATGAATTATGCTAACATTGAAATAGGCCTCTACCATGCGCCGAAACTGTTTTATGAGCAGGATGTATGGGCATAAATGCCTGACGGTTTTCCCTCTTCACACCTCTCCAGTTCTCAAATGGCAAGCTTTTCTACACAGAGCCCACCATTTTTCTCTCTTGCAGAGCCCTGCTTGTCTTCTTCCTAGCATATCACATTATGTAAACACTGTGTGTTGACCTGCTTGTAACATGTCTTGTCTACAGTACACACTCTCTGTAGCCCAGGAATCTGGTTTGCTAGTCGCAGAATATTTGGCACCTAGCACAGTCCTGCTACACAGGTGGAGCTCTCGACTGGATAAATGAGAGAGGGAGGGAGGGGGCCAATGAAAAAGCTGTGGTCTCTGAGCTCCTAAGTTCCAATTGTCTACACTCTGTTCCCAAACTTTTATTCTACTGACTCCCTCAACCCTTATTCTCAGTTTAAGTATTCTTTCAATTTATTAACTTACTAGTTTTTCCAGAGTTGTAAACCATTTTTTTTCTGCCTGGTTTCATCACTGCCTCTCTGAATTCTTCTTGTCCTTCTTAGAAAATTACCTTTCCTTTGTCCTTTTATTAAATGCTGGTATTCTGCAGTCTTCTTGTCTTATACACCCAATGGTTGAATTTTAAAGTTTCAATTTTTTTCTCTCTGTGACTAAACTAATGTCTGGCACATTATAGGCATTCAATACATATTTTTTGAATGAATGCTGAAGACACTAGAACCTTTATATCCACACAAGTAAGGCTTGAGTTTCAGACTGGTGTATCTAACTGGACATTTCCATTTGAATTTCCCACAAATGTTTAAAGACTCAACACACCCCCTTTTGTGATGATTGGAACTTCCATCTACTCAGCTGCCTGAGCCATAAACCTGAGGGTCAGCCATGATTCCCTTTTCACTTTAATATGTGTAAGAGTCACAGAGTCCTATCGTTTCTAGTTCCTCCATATCTTTCAAGTTTGTCCACTTTTCTCTATTGGCACATTTCTACCTTCAGTAAGCTCCTTACCTTTTCCCACCTGGTTATCTTATGATTTGTCTTTCCCTAACCCACCCTTCACCATTGTCATAGTCACTTTTCTCAAGTGTAAATCTGATCACATTCTTGTCCTTCCTATTCACCTTCCCTGGGGCCCCTGTCTTTGAAGATCAAATCTGATCTTCTCAACATGTCTTACAAGATGGCCTCGTTTGGACCCATCTCATCCTCCAGCTTAGGCTTTCCGTGCTCCATCAGTTTTCCCTGTGTGCAGTTCCCCGAACCCAGACATGCCTTAACATTTGCTTGTCATTTAACTGGAATCATCCTTTTCTCTCACCTTGGTTACCCCTAATCTTCCTTCATGGATGAACCCAGATGTCAATTCTTCCAAGATGCCTTCCCTGAGCACCCCAAACTTGGTTAAATGGTACTTCCTTTTGTTATAGCACATCTTAGTCTATATGGTAATCATTTTTCCCCTTAACTATCCCCTTCATTTGAATAGCCATATTTCAAAGCCACAGATGTGTCTTATTGATTATTGTATTTATGGACTTAGCACATATTGACACTCAATAGATGTTGAATTAATGTCTCTAAACTCAAGGAGTTTAAAGGCTATTATAGGAGGGAAAACAAGTTAAAAAAGAGTCCAAAAATGTATAATAGGTGCACGAGATCGACCTCTTCAAGGCATAGTTGAGGTTCAAAGAGTAAAGGACCACTTTTTCCTAGTGGAGTTGGGAAAGTCTATTTACAGGATCTGATACTTGAGTTGATGATTATAAGATACATAGACATTTGAGTTTTCCACTGCCCTTATCTTTTTTGCAATTTTGCTCATGGAACTATGCCTCATGGACACTACCTCACCAATACCCTGAGAATTAGAAGATAAGCGCAGAATTGCTTTAAAAGTACAAAGGGGGCTGGCCGAGTGGCGTGATGGTTAAGAACTGGCTTGGGACGCCAGAGGGCCCCCGGTTTGGATCCCACATATGAGGGCCAGTGACACTGCCCTCCACAGCTAAGATGCTGAACAACAGCTCCACCTGGAGCTGGGCTGCCGTGAGTCGCTGGCGATGGCGTAGGCTGCAGCCCCTTGGCAGTGGGTTGCCATGGGCTACTGTGTGTAGCCAGCAGCCAGCGTGAGCGGCCAGCAGCCGCAGTGAGCGGCCGTCCAGAAGCCGGCGACTGATCTGCCTCACCTGGGAAGAGCGCAATGATGGTGCCAACTTGGACCAGTGAAGCAACGTCCTCCACAACTAGACTGAAGAACAAAATGACAGCAACTTGCCTGTTCCCCTTCCCCAATTCCCCAGCGCTGTTCCCATCCCCCCAATTCCCCAATAAAAATCTCAAAAAAAAAAAAAAGTACAAAGGAACACATAGAAGCAAGTAATTATCTGAAAGTGATTAAATACAGAAAGAGGCCCAGGAGCAGGAGATAATCCTGTTAACATCTCTTTATATCAGCAGTTGACATGCTTTGTCTATAAAGGATCAGATCGTAAATATTTTAAACTTTGTGAGCCTTATAATTTCTATCAAAACTACTCAACTTGTCTTTGTAGCACAAAAGTAGCCAAAGACAATATGTAAATGAACAACCATGGCTGTGTGTGTTTCCAATAAAACTTTATTATAATGCAAAGCGAAATAAGTCAGACAGAAAAAGTTAGGAACTATATGATTTCACTGATATGTGGTATATAAAACTGAAAACAACAGAGGAACAAGACAAACAAATGAAGTAACAAAATCTCATAGACACAGACAACAGTTTAGTGGTTACCAGAGGAAAAGGGGGAGGGGTTTGGTAGATGAGAGTAAAAGGGATCAAATATATGGTGATGGAAGGAGAACTGACTCTGGGTGGTGAACACACAATGTGATATATAGATGATGTACTACAGAATTGTACACCTGAAACCTATGTAACTTTACTAACAATTGTCACCAAAAAAAAAAACTTTAATTAAAAAAAATTGGGTTGCAGGCTGGAGTTTGCCTTGAGACTCATGGTTTGCCAATCCCATAATAGATTATGTAAACAAATTATGGCCTGCAGCCCAACTGTCAAAAGGAAATTAGTTTGTTAAACCTAAGAAAGAATTTTCACATTCTGTTTTCCAGTGTAATATCCATTCTTTGTTTTTCATCAGAGTTAGTATATTTGTAGAAGAACATTAGCCACAGGCAGATGTGTTTATTTATAGTCTAATTGTACAGGATGTAATAAGGGAAGGTGCTCATGGTTTGTAAATGACACTGATAAACATAACTATTGCCAAGGAAAAATTGGTATGTCAAAATAAAATTCCTAATGAAATTTGAAATGTGTTTGCGACATCGAGGTAGTTACATTTCTGTTTGAAATGGGATCTCATCAAGAAACATGGGCTTTTGTGATCAGAGTACCTGGGTTCTCCCTTAGCTATGTAATTTATACCAATTCAGCAACCTTTCTACAAGTCAATATACTTACCATAAAAGTTAAATGATACTTCACATCGAGTTTGTGAATTTAATGAGTTTTTTTAAAGATGCTCTGTTAGGTCTAATGTATATGGTTATAAAGCCTACATTTTGTTATTTTTTTAAAGGAAATATTTACTTACGTTGTATTGCTAAATCCAATGGTCACATTAACTAACCTATTAGCACATTTAACACACGGGATCATTGCCTCACCCTTGAAGCATTTGCTGCCCCTGGATTTCAGGGCCCCACGCTCTCCTGGTCTCCCTTTTACCTCAACACCCTATGGTTTTCAGTGTTCTTTGCTGGTACATTCTCTTCTCACCAGCCTCTTAATGAAGTGGTTTTCCAGGGCTCAGTTCTTTGTGCTCTTTGCTTTTCTACCTTCACTCACTCCCTAAATAATCTCATCAAGTCTTAGGGCTTTAAATACCATCTATATGCTAATGATTCTCAAATCTAGATTCCCAGCTCAGCTCTGTCTCATGAACTCTGGACTCATTTGTATCTCGCTGCCTACTCAGCATCTTCACTTAGGTGTAAAATAGGTATTTCAAACAATGTCTAAACTGAACTTCAGGTGTCTGTCTCTCTGGCAACGAGCTTACTTTGCCCAGAGTAGGCCCCGCCCATTCCAATGGATGGCGACTCCGTCTTTCCAGTTGGCAGGTAAGAAGTCTGGAAGGCATCCTGGACTCCTTCCTTTCATATGCCATATCAAATCATTCAGGAAATTTATATGAAATATATCAATGAAATCTATCTATCTATCTATCTATCTATCTATCTATCTATCTATCTATCTATATCTCCAAAAAAATGTATACAAGTGGACACTTTGGTCAATGTTGCTCAAGCAGTAGTTTGTGGTAATAAGTGTCTGGACGCTGATGGTAACCACTTTGAGCACCTCTTGTCATTGCAGAAGTCAAACGTGACTTGTATTCATCTTTTTTGGTCAGTATATATTGAGCATTACAATTTTAATAGTTTTTCTTTCTTAAAATGTGTATACATTTTTTTGGAACCCTTTGTGTATATATATCATAGATATATTCAATATTCACTATCCCTATTACTATCCCTGGTCTGAATTACCATGGCCTCTCACCTGAATTAGTGTAAAAACCTCTCTCCTGTCTCTTTTCTACCTTGTTTCTCAACATAGCAGCCCGAGTTAACCTTTTAAAATAAAAGTCAAACCAATCATGTGACACTTCTACTCAAAATTCTTTAGAGGGGCTCACGTCCTTCAGTTAAAACCATGCACGGCCTACTTGGGCCCTCCGTGGTCCAGTCCCTCTTTACATTATCTCCCTGGTACCGTTTTCTAGCACCCTCTCCTTCACTCACTCCGCTGCAGTCCCACTGCAGACATACGTACCTGCCTTAAGGTCTCTGCACTGGGTGTTGCCCCTTTAGCTATGGTTGTTTTCCATATATCGAAATGGCTGACGCCCTCATCTCCTGCAAATCTTTGTTCAGGCATTTGTACCTCATTGAGGTCGACTCTGACCATTCTATTTAAAACTTCAACCCTTGGGGCAGCCGGTTAGCTCAGTGGGTTGGAGCACAGTGCTCACAACACCAAGATTGCCGGTTCAATCCCCCCATGGGTCACTGAGATGCACTGTCCACAACTAGATTGAAACAACTATTTGACTTGGAGCTGATGAGTCCTGGAAAAATACACTGGAAAAATTCCAACCCTCCAATGATCTTTAGTCTCCTGTGGCATAGTTCCATAGCCCCAATTACTTCTAATTTAATTTAATTTAGCTATTCGTTAAGTTTGTTGTCGCTTTTCTCCTAGGAAGACAGGGACTTTTTGCCTGTTTTTATTTATTGATGTATTTCAAAGATTCCGGCAGAGTGCTAGCATATAAATATTTATTAAATGTCTGAGTAAATATGTAATATAACATCTATATGTACATATGTATATCTTCACATTTATATATCTAAAATTTATATATAAACAGTATATATACTGTTTGGAATATCTAAGTGGGTATACTAAGTAGTTAGCATTTCAAATTTTATTCAACAGGTATGAGAGAAATTCAATACTTGCTGATATTCTTCAATAGAACAACATGCTCAGTACAATATAGGTTTTCAGCATTGTCTTGATAAATAGGTAAAGTAAGGTTAAAACTGTGGTGACAGGGCTCGTATCTTAGATTAGATATTAAAGCCATATTTAATATTTTTAGCTTAGGATATTAAAGACATATTATTCTCTGTAATGACATCAGTGAGATTCCAAAATTCTGCAGGAGGCTAGAATGATAGTTTAACACTATCAAACAAACTTTAACTCTGGATATTAAAACTCTTAAGAATACTTGAAACTTAGAGTTCACCATTGTTTCACATACATTATTTGATTTGAGTGTTACAACCCTTGGATTATGTGGCGTTATCTTTCCCCGTTACAGATGAGAAAAAAAACAGTTATGAAGGGACCTGGTCAGGATCATATGAGTAACTATTGGTGAATATTATTTTAAGCTCAGGTCTTCTGACTAAATCTCGAGCCCTCTCCTTGTGGCGTTGGTCAGCTATTTCTGAATAAAAGGTCAGTTGCCCTGTCTGTCCCGAGGATCACAAGACGAAAGAACAGTTTTCTCCATTGAACGTCCTCAGGATTTTAACTTGTTGCAAGCTCTAGTTAAGCTTAATAGGTGAAAAAAGTCACATGAAGCTTAGAAGAAAGTTAGGCTGAAATACCAGAGGGGAGACGATAGGCTCACTTTGGCTTTGCAATAGTCAGAGTGCTTCTAGAGTTATCTATTCACTTTTGTCAACGTAAAATAATAATAATAATAATAATGATGATGACAATCATAATGATGTTGACTAACATATATTGAGTGCTTACTATGTGACAGACATTATATTTACTAACTCTTTAATTCTTTAGTCTCATTGACAAACCAGACCATTTCTCTTCTTGTCCAGCAAGAGAAAAGAAGACAATGGTGATGATGGCGCTGGGGTAGGGGGGTCACAGAAGCGAGTTGAGGCCTGGAAACCATAGAGGCTGGAGGTGGGAAGACACAGGAGACTATGTTTATTTTCAAATCCAAGCAGCACGATCACGTGGAAGAGAGATGGGGTGTATTTGTGGAATCTCAGAGGTTAGAGAAAAGTTTAGAGTCAAAGTGACTGGGTTTCAGACTAGGGCTCATTCAAGCTGAGTCACTCATGTTCAAATTATTTAAAACTGGTATGGATTTTCTTGGGGGGGCTCTAGCCCCCCACACAGGAAGCCTTTAAGCACTTCCTGTGTGACCTCATCTGTAAGAGATACTGTGGATGGGAATCTCTGCCCAGGAAGGAGTGACCCAGAACTCCCTTCTGAGGCTAAGCTTCTATGACTGTTAAATCAGCCTGAGGCTCATATTAAAGGGTGGATGGGGTAAAAAGCTCTTGGGCAGGTATCACCAGCCTGAGTAATGCAGCTGCCACTGGTGCCTAGAGTTTTTGCTGCTTCTCCTCGGGCCTGGTATTTCTTTGGCAGCACCCACAAAGCCAGGACTTCCTAGGGACCCTTTTCCTCTTGTCTCCCTCTAGCCTGCTTGCTACAGAAATGCCCTATGACTCCAGTTAATCTTGCTTCTATCTCAGCCTCTTGTAAAAGGTTAATTTAGTCAGTTTGAATATTATTAAATCTTAAGAGACAAATATGTAACAGTTAGCCTTAATTATCTCTGGCACTGGGCCCACCCAAGTCAGCGGGACAGGGGTTAACAATTTGACACTCTATTTTTGAGGACTTGTCAACCCTTTCTTTGTGTATTTCCTTTATGGAAAGCCATATAGCGTGTCAGAGCATTTGAGAAACTTCTTAAATTATAGCTCCCAGATTCTGTGTGGCAGAAGAGCTATAGCCTGGGGGTGAAAGGCATTCAAGTACAGCCCGGGGTACACTCTCTTCCAAATCAGTGCTGCTTAGAAAGAAAAGAGTCAGGATGATGAGGCAAGAAAAACTTCAGGAAGAGGAGTAGAAAGGGTCAGAAAAGCAAAACGATGGACTTGGACTCCAAAATAAGGAAGAGCAACATAAAAACAAGGAGAGGAATAATAGCTTCTCCCAAGGGGGTTTGTGGGGTTGTGGGGTTGTGGGGTGGGGACACAAAACACTATATCATGGGTTAGTTAAAAAGAAAAATCTCCACCCACATTATAAAAGAGATGAGCCTCATGATAGGGTATTGGACCCTGGCAGAACATAGAAGTTCAAAGGTAATCAATTACACAGCCGGGTATCTTGAATTTGACATCCTTCCTGAGAATATTTCAGCTGTGGTTTAGGCAGTTGTGTGCTGGGTCCTGGGTGGCTGGGAGACTGCACTGGGAGATAGATTTTCTGGTTTCAATGCACTTCATGCTTTTAATAGGAAACTGAATTCGTTTTCTTCAGATGGGCACCTTTAGATTGTTTAAAGGTAAGAAGCACCTCTCAGTGTGAATAAACTCCTCTCAGCAAGAACAAAATAGAAATACATGTGAGCGTTAATTTGGCTTTATCTTTTGAAATGCCAGTTTTCTGAAAAAGAAAACAGAGGAGCTTTTTCTTCATTAAAAACAAAAATTGCTTTTCAACACTGGGTTCAGAGTGAATTCTGCTGAGTACAAAAAGCCGATGCTGGAAGTGAAAGAGTTGGCCCTGCTGTTGGGAGAGACGCACCAAGCTGAGATGGCAGCCCAGCAAAGTTGGACACACGTCTCTTACTGACATGCATGCCTCGAGAAGCTCCCGCCTGTGTTCTGTTTTTGTCCCCCTGAAGGAAAACACACACGTAGAATTCTAAGGGAGAGAAACAGCTGGATGTTTGGAGGACGTGTATGGTAGTGTTAGCAGGATTATTGCTCCTTTTCAATATAACGTTTCTCAATGAAAACATCAGCACAACATAAGGAATATAATGATGACAGACATTTGCAAGAGGACTTACCGCCTTAGAAGACATGATCCCAAACAAGGGGAACATTAAAGCAGGCAGCAGAGCTGTTACCGACAGGGGCAGAGTTTCTGTAATCCAAAATGTGGCCACTATGAAGAGTACGTAGGCACATTCTGCTTCCTGGAAAGAATGAAAACACGAGGTGAAATCATGAGGCTGGGAAAGCATCACTCAAATCACAACTGCATTTGCTGAGTGGAGCCGTGTCACAGGGAAAGTAAGAAGAAACTCTGAAGTCCTCTGCACCTTCAAGTGGGGCAGTGAGCTCTCATTTGTTAGGTGTTCTAAGAGCCCAAATGTAATTAATACATATGAAAAACCAAGGGCTAAAAGACATTCTCATTCATTACGTTTCCTCCAAAACCGGTAACAGCATATGGTCAACTTTCTGTGCTTCTATCGGTGTGTATGTATGCTAGTAGTGCTCAGCTTTATTTGGCCAATAAAACGCACTTCCAGGACTACTGGAGAGTAGAAGTGACCAAGTGACTGCCTTTCCCTGGGGCAGGATGCATCTGCATTTTAACTACGTTCCTTGGTGCCTGGTTGGTTGGAACCCACACACCTGCCTGCTTTTCCTTCTACTAAAAGGGGGAAATCAACCTAGAAGAAAATTTTTGCAGAGCTTTGTTTCAGAGAAAGAACAGTGCCAAGTTATGTGGCATGGATAAGACTGAATTAGCTCCTAGGTGACATGAACCTGGAGGGGAAGAACCTTCTGCCTTGCTTTTTAGAAAGACAGCTGAGCTCCTGGAGAGATACAGGGACACTCAATGGGACTGAGACTCTTAACAGAATCTGTTGCTTTGCTAGGTATAAAACTCTGGGTTTCTGCTTTAGGGCATTGTTAAGAAGTGGTTGAAATTCATGCTTATACTTGGCTTATATAAATAATTTTGATATGAAATCACCCAGAACTGACACAGTGATCAATAAAGATTAGCTTCTATTATATGTGGCTTTATTTTGCTCTCACAAAGCTTAATCTCTGCAAATTCCAAGCTGAATTTGAAAAATTTACAAAAACTGTCTGAACTTAATGAGGTCTTTGAAGATTTCCCAGGGCAATAAAATTTCTAGCTCTGCTGCCTCCTGACTCACCTAGTTCAGGAGGGTCCTCTGGGCTTGGCATTTATTCACCCAGCATCTCGGAACTTTCAGTGGGCTCTAAGAAATCCTTAATAAACCAGGATTACATCATACCTGTATTGTGGTATCTTTTTAAAGGAGAAAGAATAAAGGCGTTTTATGTTGATAGTTTTAGACAAAGTCTGCTTCTATAATCTTGACAAACAATGAAACAGTGAAACAAAGCTGAGCCTTGAGTGAATTTTCTGAACTTGCTTGGGAGAGAATTTGTGAATACTAGCTTACTTTAAAATGCCAGCGTAGGAGAAAGACCAGGCCTGCATTTTCTTTTAGCTAGAACACACTGGAATAACCCAAAAGCTCTTCCTTATGACTGTATGTTTCCTATCAAAGAAAGATATCAAGAACCTACACCTCAAAGATAAAATGGTCCCTTTTGGTACCTTGCTCTTTAGGCACAACTAACCAGTGTCTCGATCCTCTCGCTCCCTGTCATTTTACTTTTCAAATCTGCCTCTCAGCCTCCACCCCACTTCTTCCACTGCAGGCAAATCTGTCCCATGACCAGATCATCTTCCAACAATGCACTATGGCTTTGTCATTCTTTTGCACAAAACCAGATTAAGGGGCTAGCCACTCTGACAACTATTCGGAGCACCAATCCATAAGGAACTACTAAAACCTGAGAGAGAGAGAGAGAGAGAGAGAGAGAGAGAGAGAGAGAGAGAGAGAGAGAATGAGAACATGGAGGTGAACCCAGTAGAGCCCCTGCTAAGGAGAGGGGGATAAGTACAGAATACCAATGATGAAACAGNAGGGAGGGAGGGAGAGAGAGGGAGGGAGGGAGGGAGAGGGAGGGAAGAAAATGAAAAACATGGTGCCAATTCTGTTCACCACATATAGCCCCTGCCATGAGGAGTGACATTTCATTTCAACATGGGTCTACTTCATCTAGACAAGTCATGCTCTGCTCAGATGGGGCAACTTTGGGGACAAAGCAAAACTTCCAGTACTACATTCTTAGCGTGCCTGGAACACTTTCACATGTGAACAAGCTCAGCCCTGATTTCAAACAATCAAGTCAGTGATTTTCCAGTTGTTGATTGAGAACCATTCAAAATCCTCATTTTTCATTCAAGACCACCTTTACTCTAATTGTAGTAAGACTTATCCTGTGACTTCCTGACACCAACTCTCTATTGTTAAAGAGTGTTCTTTACATACCTTCTTGATATTTCGGTTCTGATCCTTGCTCCTCATCCTACACCCTTTTTCTGAACTCTAATCCATAATATTCAGCCAGGCCGTCCTAGCAGTGAGTTCCCAGATGTCCTTATGTGCCAACGTCTGCGGCCCATGACCACATTTTGGACTCGAAGTCTTTAACCTAGTTTGACTATTTAGGTGAAGCCAAGTTTAGCGAGAAAATAGAATTTAGTTGACTCACAAGGGTATATATGTGTTTCTGTGTTTAATTTGAGGACGGATTTACAAAGCAGCAGATTTCATGCTAAAAATAAAATCTGAATTTCTGGACTCCTTGAAAAACTAAGGAATTTGGTCACACTGGGATCATATCCTTCCATGGCCATGATTCTCCAGACTTGAGAAAAGCTTACCCTTCAGAGACTGACTTGTGCTTTTCAGGCCGGCACCACACCACCAGTTTCACTCATGCTCTTATCGGTTTGGCCTTTCTCAGCATTTGAGTAAAATCTCTGATAAGAAAACCACTGCCCACCAGCTCTGCCTTGCCCATCTTTCTTCAGCATTTCAGACTCAGCACTTGGGTCACTCATTTGTGTTTCTCTGTCTCCCAGCTGTGGGGTCCATGGACCAACAGCGTCAGCATGACCCGGAAGCTGTGAGAAATGCAGCATCTCAGGCCCTTGTCCAACACTCCGAATCAGGGGCAGCAAGTTCCCAGGTGGTTCTTCTACAGGTTCAAGTTTGAGAAGCATGGGTTACTTCCTCTTCCCGACCTTCCCTTTTATCTTGAACTCCATGTTTGACTTGCAACCAGACACTTGATTCCAGGTAGCGTCCCTCTGCCCAAGGCAAATCCTTAGATTCAGAACTTATATTCAAAACTCATATGTCCTTCAATGTGTGATTCAAATTCATGTCTTGTCTAGAGCTTCCTCAAAACACTGATGTCCATTTCATATTTTGCATATGAGCCCCAGGAGATTATAATTGCAGCTGGCTGAGACACCATTCTGCATTGTTTCTGATAGCTGCCTTCCTGGGATTTCTGAGAAACGCCCCAGTTCTCCATACCTTAAGGAAGCTCAAAGTCTAGAAAAGGAGGGTAACAGGATTATTTCCTTCTGAAGGGTATGATGGCCATCAGTCCTGGTTTTCTCAGAATAATGCTGGGTTATACCTGCTGTTTATGCCTGCTGTTCCCTCTGATTAGCACCTCCTTTCATTCTCAAAAGGGTCCCTCTTTGGCTGATAATTATACAGTCATCCTATCATTGGGTCCATCCTAGGAATACCTACTTCCTCCAATTCCCATTTCCCATTTGTGATCTATCCTGGTTGGGCTTGGAGTCATGGGCAGGGAAGGTTCTTTCCCAACAACACCCCTTAGGCATTCAACAAACAATGGTTAATCCAGACACAATGTCAAGTGTTTTAAGAATCTTATACTAAAATATATGGGGTTGTTTGGATTTTTCAAATCAAAGATCTCTGAATATTTTTGTTAGGAAGAAGAAAGGAGCAAAAGATAGAGGAAAGCATTTCATCCTTTTCTGTTATTTACATATATTCAATAAAACTAATATAAGGGTGAGCAATTTTTGGTGCACAGGTTCTCCTGATGAAGAGGAAACCTCAGAAGTTGTCTAATTGTGCTGCAACTCCAAAGGCATCATGGGTATTTTGTTCATAGAACCAACTCTGAGGTGGAAGAAAAAACTGCATCATTTTGTCACTGGAAATTCTTAGAATGGCTCATGATCTCTAGTTCTACCATCCTTATTTCCTGTTGATTGCTTTAATTTTTTTTCCCGTCCCTCTCTTTTTCCACCTTCTTAGCAAGTCCCCTGCTCCTAAAACAGAACCACACCACCATTACCACCACTATTTACCATAATCTCCACTATTGCAACCACAAGCAAGCAAAGGTAAAACAATAAAATGTCCCGAATGTCATCAAAATGTCTTCCTTTCAATATTTCCTTTATTTTCAGGTAAATAAAGAAGTCCCTGGGGGCCAGATCAGGTGAGTAGGGAGGGTGTTCCAATACAGTGATTTGTTTACTGGCTAAAAATTCCCTTTGCTTTTGTTCATCTGTGAGCTCTTTTGGGACCATCTTTGCACATATCTTTCTCATGTCAAGATTTTCAGATAAGATTTTCCTGTTTTCTCTATTGATGTTTACTTAGTCTGCTGTGCTTCTCACAGTCAGCCGACGATTTTGACACACAATTCCACGAATTTTTGCAATGTTTTTGTCAGTTCTGCTCATTAGTGGCAGCCCTGACATCTATTCATCAGTGACGCGTTCTCGCCCCTCAGAAAAATGTTTAATCCATTTGTACACTGCCGTTTTCTTCATGACATTATCCCTATAAACTTGGACAAATATGTCCCTGATTTCACTTACACTCTTGCCCAGTTTAACAAGAAATTTAATGTTTGTTCATTGCTCTAACTCAAGATTAGACATTCTCACGGCGGCACACAAAAACATGCAACAATAACAAACGCCACTCAGCAAGACACCACCACACGTCAACACAAACACAACTGTGAGACACTGATGTACCAAGGTTATGAAGCCTGACCGAGCTGTTTGTACAGAGCTGCCTGTGTAAGCACACGGTGGCAAGTTCGCAAACTTCATTGTCATACCTTGTATCTTTTAAAATAGTTTTCAAATTTATAAAATATTAAGATATGAAAAATTAATATAATAAACTTGTACACCTCATCATATTCTTAAAATGCTGACATTTTGCCACATTTGCTTAAATTTTTTAAAATAAATAAAACATTCCACATATATTATAGTTCATGA